TGAAATGCTTTATCAAAGAGTATACGTGTATCAAAGCTGTTCCATTCATATTGCATTACAGGTTGTTTCTTGTCCGGGCCATTCTGCTAAGAAATGTTGGTCACTTAAGGATACGTTTTACGGAGAACTTGTTAGTATATGCACTATTATATAATATCTTACAGATCTGGACGCCCGCCCTGAAAAATGTGCCAGTCCCTTCGTGTTCGAAAACGCGGTGTTTTTCGGCTGCACGACGCTGGGCGGGACGGAGCCGTGGTGTGCGCTCACCCCGATCTACCAGAAGGGACTGTGGAAGTACTGTGACGATGATGACATTACCGACAAGCGCTCCACTGCTAAAGTAGAAACAAAAGGTGATAAACAACTTTTTGTGGTCGTTAGTACGTTGATTTGGCCAAAAAGAAGTTGTTATAAATCGTGTCATAACTGATTGAGGAAATCAAAGAGCATGCAATCGTCTCGACTGCCTTTGACATTGAGTTCTTTGAACGAGATTTCCGAGAGAGTACATATAGACACACTAGAGTCATACATAGTCTGGAAACTCGGGAGAATGTGATCATATAGGAGCAAACTGGGATAGGATAAGATGGATTTCAGGCTACTCCCAATCCAGCGCCGATCTTGGTTGGAGAGTGACCGGGAGCAAAGTCGTAATATTATTAAAGGTCCTGAATGTCTGACTGCTAGGGTTTTAAGGTAGGGCAGGTAGTATACCCAAACATCAAATAGTTTTGACTGGGTACTACTAGTGTCTGCTTGTGTCTATGTACACAGACTGTGGTAGGAGGGGCTGCTGTTCCTTCCCGTTTGAGTACAGAGGGAAACTGTACGACGGGTGTAAGACGACCTTCGGCATGCGTCCGTGGTGCTCAATGGACAGGATCTACTCCGGAAAATGGAAGTTCTGCACGGCCAAAGACAATCAAATGGCGGAGGACTACAAGGTAAACAATTCACGGTATAAATACTCACTTACTCTATCTTTGTACATGCTCATAACTCCCAGGGTTCTTACATGTTTGCATGTCTATAGCTAGTTCTAACTAGATATGTGAAAGCTGCGTTTATGATACACATGTATCAAACGTCCATGCAAATAGTGTAGCACTAGTTGCTGATTTTTTTCTCTTTGCGTGACAGAGAGAGAAAGCAGCAAAGGAGATGCAGATTCAGCGGGTAGGACATGAGGCTCTGGCACAGAAAGAGAAAGAAAAGACGCGAGATCAGCAAGAGGAGACGAACATTCCCAAAGGTACCTGTACGAGGCACTATTGCTTGATTTTGACATCGTTTCAAATAATCGTTTCATCTCTACCTTGGTGTTCCTTGGTATAGCATTTGAAAATCAACTCCACTACTCCCTGTTGTCTTGTATACAGATATACCAACACTTGGAGGTACCGCCAATGGTGCTCAGTGCGCATTGCCGTTCACCTACTACGGTCGGACCTATAACAACTGCACCACGTTCCGCAGCAAGCAACCGTGGTGCTCAACAACTGAGAAGTACATCGGGCAGTGGGGACTGTGTGTCTTCATCACCGAGGAGCAAAAAGGTGCTTTCTCGGGCAAATGTTTTCCTTTGTTTACCTCGAATATAACTTTCTATCATTAGAAATGTCTACCGTTAAGTAAACCTGGTATATTGTACCATGTGTAAATAATTAGCCTTTAGAAACGAAGATCTTAATCAACCATTGAAGTTGATGATTTTCAGAGAAGGTGGTGTACACGACCGGCGGCACGGTGATAGCAGGTAGCCGGTGCCACTTCCCGTTCCTGTACCGCGGCCAGGTCTACACGGACTGCACCAGCACTCTGCACGGCACGCCCTGGTGCTCTACCGACCAGGCGTACCAGGGGCACTGGGGAGAGTGTGTGCCCGATGTGGACAACATCGTGGGTAACAGTATGACTGGTAGGTACTAGTAGGCTGATGATCACGGCACGCGGGGGTATCAATTGAGGGCAACCTGTACCTACTGTGTAAAACTGGTAGGTTATTCGGCAGCTGATACGACAACGTTGTGATGTGATAGGCTGAGGACTGATGTTGCGTTGATGTGTATGCCTTGATTCTTACTCTGAAATTGTTTGAATATGATGCCTTTTCGTACAGAGTCACCGACAGAAGCAGACGAAGCCTCGGAGTGCGTTTTCCCATTTACTTACAACGGTGTGGTGTACTACGGCTGCACGACGTTGAACGCGGACTACGCGTGGTGCTCTCTCACCGAGACGTACTTCGGCCAGTGGAAGATGTGTACAGGCGAAGAGCTCAAGCTGCAGCAGCCTGATGAACCGACCGCAGCGCCGACTGCACGACCTGATACTACCGTCTCCACCACGACACGGCCAGAAACGGACCCTCCTACGGCAGAAGGTAGATAAACTCCTGGTACTTTATTAATAATAACATGAAAATATGTGTGATTTTAAGCTAACGAAAATATTTTTCAAGTCATGAAGCTTTAGTTGGAGACAGACGGGTTGAAATTTCATCAGTCCCAACAGTCATATTTCGGGTCCTGCAGACAGCCATGCTCCCTCCATCCCCTCGTACATCTTACCGACTATCGTTCCAAACTCAGTGATTCCAACCTTCGGGGGACGGGAGACAGGCCTCCGTGTTGCCTTGCCGTTTACTTACCTTGGGAAGACGTACTACAGTTGTACCACAGACAACTACGGTACACTGTGGTGCTCCACCACGGAACAGTACCAGGGTAGCTGGGGACAATGCCTGCTGCCCTTTCGGGAGTCAGGTAAACTTGCACCTGCTAGCGCCATCCATATTCCCCATGTAGCTTTGTCGATTTATTTTGCACCTGCTTCTGCATGTTTCTAAGCCAAAAAGTCAAAACTGAGAAGCCTGATATTCTAGCTTTGTGCAACGCCTGCATGCTTAGCTCTTTTTTTTTTGCTTCATGTTTTTTTCTTCATGTTTTTGTTTTGTTATACATCACTGGATGAAATCCGATAGTCAAGCAGTTAAAGGCTCTTTTTATACCGGAACCTTAAGGCATGATTTAGGGTCTGCTTAAATATCGGATTACAGTGATGTATAAACTCTTGTTTTTAACGTAAACCGCTTGCTTTTGCTTTTGTGCAAACGGCAAGTCTTCACCACCGGTGGGTCGGCTGGCGGCGCACCCTGCGCACTGCCTTTTGTCTACCGTGGCAAAGTGTACTCTAGCTGTACGTCTGACCATTGGTCACAGCCGTGGTGCTCAACAACCACCCACTACGCGGGCATGTGGGGACAATGCCTGCCGATATCCACCACGCACCACACACCTACGTCATCTTCTCCATTGACAGATGGTGTGTTTCAAAAGCCTTCATTTTGTTTTTCTGTGTCAATGAGTGATTCTGTTTGCTGAGAAACAAACAAGACGTTTCTGTAGTCTAGGACATGACTTACATGATAATATCTTCGTCTGTTGATAACCATTGGAATTTGTGTGAACGGTTCAGTAGATAATACATCTTTCATCCAATCAATACCATTGGACAAAATTGTGAATTTGCAGACGTTCCGGACGACGGATGACCACAGGACGACATGATTGCTCAGATGCGGCCAGGGAGTCGAAGATCACACGGACTCTGATGCTGAAACTAACAAAACGATCGCGTTTTCTTTACAAAGGGTAGATAGTGAATGTATGGTATCCTTGATGGAAAACGTGATTGAGATTCTTACTAGTTTCTGTTTGGGTGAACATTTTCTGCATGTGTGCACTGATTGCCACGATATTTGTTGTCTGTTAGATGAAGAGACCACGACGGAGGCGCCTCCTAGCGACTACCTGCTAGCCTCAGTCCCCGTCAAAAGCACCAAGCATTGCAAGCAGGCGTGCGAGAACTACCAGGGAGGGCGGTGCGACTACGTCAACGTCGGTCCGAGGAAACGCGTCGGCGGGACCGTCATGTGTGAGCTCTGGGCCGGCAGGGCGAAGAAGCGTGTAGGCTTCACCATGCACAGGGTCAGGTATTAAGAGATCTAAGAACAAACATTTTAGTCGGATCAATCTAGGCTGTCAGATGATGCCCATATTCAGCATGCCTGCAGGCTATCCACGTGGCCAGTTGGAGGAATCTCGCCATCGATTTGTGCTTCCCTAAAAGGGACAACATTGATGAATTTGTCACAGCTGCGTGACAAGATATGGAGTAATTGTTGTTTTCTTTCTAGTAAGTGGTAGTTCGTATGCGTCCGACATATGATACATACAAAACATACAAAATACCTTACTATGAGTAAAATGTGATGCAGGCATCTCGGTATTCAGAACCATTAACTCTGTCCAATAAATGCCATCCAAACAATGTTAGGTCTCACGACTCATGACTTTTATGAGTTTAGTGTTAACCTTCAATACAGATTTTATCTTCGAGTTTGTTGTTCAGAAACTCCAGGGTTTGCTGGTCAGACATTTTTAAAATTAAGTGATGTACAGTATGCACAGAATGTGCCCATGCGTCTTAAGATTAATTGACCAACGGTTAATATGATGGATTCTCCCATATTTTTCAACACCTGCCCATAAAGGAGCTTTCCTATATGAAGATAATTGGGCGAAAACCCCAGAGACAAGGATACTGGGAATAGTTCTCAGTTGAGTGCATATTGACAAGCGATTGGTTTAATTCGTGCCGCTGTCGATTTGACGATTTGGTTGTCACAAAAACGGAGAGCCCAGCCTGCCTTATTTGCCGAGTCGTACCGTGGGAACTGCCACACCGTGACAGCTTTAGGAGATCGTGGTTCATTTTCTCTCTCTAAATGCTGGTGAAATCACAAACCTACGTCCGAGAAAGAAATTAGGATTGAAGATGATTAATGTTTTGCTATTGATTATTCCATATACGACAATGTATGAATACGGGGTATGCCGCACGTATTTGGCCATCATGTGACATACTGGTATTATCTGGGGATTATATAACGGGACCCACGGCCATGGTATTTTTATTGTGACCTCCAAAGCGCTACCATCGTCACATGAGAAGGAAAGATGCCTACTAACACGTTCTTACACATCATCCGCTGGAAAACATCTGCACACGACATCGAACTGATTTTAGAACACCTGTAAGGAACGCTCCCAGCTGTGCAGGTGTCAAATAACGCCACCTGGTGTGTATACTGTGAGGTACAGCGATGGCACCAGTTGTCAGTGTCAACCTGTCGGCAGAAGAGATCCAGCGGCTGAGAGATAGCGTGCTCTACCCTTACACTGAACCGGCAGGCATCGTCCTCCTGTTTCTGAACGTTGTGATTTTCCTGACTGGATTCGCTGCCAACATTTCAGTGCTGCGGGCGATCTTTGGACGCAGCCCTATGGACAGGGTAGCCAACGCGTTCATGGTGAACCTGTGCGTCTGTGACCTCCTAGTCATCAGTCTGTGCGTCCCTGTTAACGCCGGGATGGAGGTTTACCGCAGCTACGTGTACGGACCGGCTTTGTGCAGGATTCTCGCCTACGTACAGGCGGTGTCCGTGTGCACAAGTGTCTTCACCCTCACCGCGGTAAGCTTGGATCGTTACCTGGTCATATGCAACCCCCTACGCGCCATGTCGTATTCACCAAACTCGCGGGTGAAGATTGTAATTCCTTGTATCTGGGTAGCGTCTATGTTAATCATGCTCCCTCTAGCCATCTTCAGTGAGGTTACTGAACAAACTTTCGAGTTTGAAATTCATGTGGTGTTTTGCCAGGAGATTTGGCCCGGAGTGGAATGGAAGAGGGCATATGACGTGACGCTGTTCATAGTACTTTTCGTTCTTCCATTCTCAATCATGGCACTAGCGTACACAAAAATAGGGCAGACTCTGTGGCATCGCGCAGCGGCACTCTATGGAAAGCCTGACAACTACGTCAGAAGAAACAACGACGCCATTGTCACCAAAATCATATCGCGCAGAAGACGCGCAGTTAAAGTATTCGCAGCTTTAACAGTAATCTTTTCCTTCTCCTGGCTACCGTACTTTCTTCTTATCCTTTGGTTCGACTTCTACGAGGAAACGAAGAGAGAAAGCGCCTTAACAGCAGCCACTGTACACCCGTTCCTTTTGTGTCTAGGTCTCTCCGACTCAGCCATGAACGCTGTGTGCTACCTCGCTCTCGGTAAGAACTGTTGTGGCATGAAACATAGCGATCGTCTCTCACAACTCTCGGGACACAGGAAGTCATCGCGCACACTGCCCTCTCACACAAGGGAAGAGAAGCTTGACTTCGACTATGAACATCTGGAGATGGAAGAAACCCGTGCTGTACAGTTAGATGTCAGTACTGCGTCGCACAGATAGTATGTGTTTATATACAAGTATGAGCGAACATAGAAGTACTGATGTTTTTATATACATTTGCAAACGCGTGCCAGGAGGCAAATTGCAAGGTAACACATAAAATGTAAAGATGTACATGTAAGAAAGTGTCTAGTATGTAGATCTGTCTGACGTATATTACTGAGGGGGTTGGCCTCTTTTGATCGATGAATGGGTGGGTTTTGTGATTTAGTAGAAATGTTCGTTTCTTGAGGTTTTCTAGAAGGATAAAGCTCGCGCAGATGGTCGCAACAATATGAAATATGCTAATTATTTGCGTTTGAGGAGCTAACGGAGTTATCGTGACGAATTAGCAAATAATTGAGTTTCTGCAGTAACAGGTGTGGGCTGCAGGTGGAGGGATCACGCGTACATGGCGTGATATCCAGGTGAAGGGTAGGTATTTAGGTGAGTACAGTAGTAGTCTGTTCATTCGACGCAGAGCACAGCACCGCGTGTACAACAAGAGTGGTTTCTCCTTCGTACCATTATGGATGCAGCAGGCATTAACCAGGCGTTTGAGACCCACAACACGATGATTCTCAACGCCGTTTCTAAGATGATGGACGAAAAACTGGGCACGCTGAAACGAGCGAACGAAGAAATGGTTGAGAAGCAAGTCAACGAGCTCAAAAGGATGAAGAAGGCAGAGGCGCCCAAGATTAAGAAGAAGGCCTACCAGGATCAGTACGACTTCTCTCAGAAAGTGAAGGAGAAGCTGGAGCAGGCGAAAGCGGAGGTGGAGGCTGGCAAGAACGACCGAGCGTTGGAAACTCTGACCGAAGGTGAGAACTTAGTTACGTTCCGCCAAAAGTGTATTTTAATGGCAGATAAGTCGGACGCTGGTTGGTTAACGGTTCAGGAATACTTGAAGAATGAGCTAGCTGATAACTCTGACGATGAAAAACGTATGTTTAAAGCTGAGGCCAGAGCAAAGAAGACCAAAAAAGAGATGCAGCAGAAGAAAAAGAGTGGCGCTAATAAGCAGCGTTTTAATCAGTTTTACCCAGCCCAATCTAGGCCTGGTTATAACACCTCGACCGCTGCTGCAAGTTCTGGAGACAAGAAACAACCCGGCACTTGTTTCGCCTGCGGACAGGAAGGGCACTGGAGGGACAGGTGTCCAAAGCTCAGCACCTACAGGCAACAGTCGGATACAAGCAAGTGACACTTAGTAATATGATTTTTTCTTTTTAATGTTTCAGGACCTTGCGAGTTTGATTGACAATCTGAGCGAGGCGATGTCTTTGATTCTGATATCCCAGGAATCTCTTCTATCCTCGATTTCATGACACTTAAAGATTTTGAGCTGCAAGAAGGAGAGCCTGGGATTAGTGTTAGAGGAAGGTTAAAGAAAAACATTGCATATTGGGAAAGATGTGGCGCCCCAGAATTTATCCTTGATACTATTAGAGAGGGTTACAAATTGCCTTTCAAAGAGCTGCCAAATTCTAGGATTTTGCATAATAATGCCAGCGCTAAGAATAATTTTGAGTTTGTCTCTTCCGCAGTTTCTGAATTACTTCAGCTAGGATGTATTCAAGAAATTTCAAAATGCCCTTTTATTTGTAATCCTCTCTCGGTTGCCATTCAATCCTCTGGAAAAAAGAGATTAATTCTTGATCTTAGATATGTCAATTTGTTCTTGTTCAAACATAAGTTTAAGTGTGAAGACCTCAGACTTGCAGCTAAAGAATTTAGAAGAAATGAATTTATGTTTACTTTTGATTTAAAGTCTGGCTATCATCATATTGATATTTTCCAAGGACATAGGAAGTATCTTGGTTTTGCTTGGAAGTTTGATGGTAAGACTAGATATTTTGTGTTTTGTGTGTTGCCTTTTGGCTTATCCACTGCTCCTTACATTTTCACCAAGCTATTGAAACCAATTGTGACTAAATGGAGGAGCGAAGGTATTTCCATTTTTGTGTATCTAGACGATGGTCTAGGGAAAGGAAGAGGTTTGGATAATACCAGATTGATAGCAAAGCATGTGTGTACAGACATTGTAAAATTTGGTTTGGTTCCAAACCCAGGTAAATGTGTCTGGGAACCTTCACAAGTAGTGACGTGGTTAGGAACTATTATTAATTTAATGGAATTTAAGTTTTTTGCTACTGATAGAAGAATGACTAAGCTGTATGCTGCACTTACTGAGATTATTGAGGACTTTAAGCAGGAGATATATTGTTTTCCGGTGAAGAAGATAGCAAGTATTGTAGGGCAAATCATTTCACTGGAACTGTGTATAGGTTCGGTGGTGAGAATTATGACTAGATATCTTTATTTCGTGATAGAAACACGTTCTTCCTGGTATTGCAATGTGAAGTTAGATCATCAAGCTATAAGAGAGGTCATTTTTTGGTTTGAACATTTACGAATAGCGAATGGTTTCCCGATTGCTTCTGAATTTGAAGCTGCAAGAATAGTTTATTCTGATGCCTCTGCTGAAGGCTATGGAGGTTATGTTGTGAATTGGGAAAAATCCTTTGTTCAAGGTACATGGAATGAATTGGAATGCACACATAGTTCTACCTGGAGAGAACTCAGAGCGATTTTCTTGGTGTTAAGTGGTTTGAAAGAGGAGCTAGCTAGAAAGCATGTGAAATGGTATTGTGACAATACGGCAGCAGTGAAAATTGTCAAAGTTGGCAGTGTAAAGAGATACTTACAAGATATTGCGCTGGATATTTTCAATGTATGTAATGAATATAACATAGTACTTGATGCGACCTGGATACCCAGGACAAAGAATGATAAGGCAGATGCTCTGAGTCGTTTCTTTGATGTGGATGATTATGAAATTGACCCGCCAGTGTTTCACTACTTGAACAGGAAGTTTGGACCTCACCAGGTCGACAGGTTTGCAAATCATCTGAACAAGAAGCTGGAAAGATTTAATTCTAAAAGTTGGTGTCCCTCTTCAGAGGGCATAGATGCTTTTTCTTTTGACTGGGCGGGACAGAATAATTGGTTACACCCCCCAGTCAGAATGATTCCTAGAGTGATTAAACATATGCAAGATTGTAAAGCGTTTGGCACGCTGATAGTACCCTTGTGGAAGTCTGCGTCCTTCTGGACATTGCTATGTAAAGATGGTGTACATTTTGACACTTTTGTACATGATTTTGTGGATTTAAGAGTATACAAGAACCTATTCAGAAAAGGCATGAGTAAAAACACATTGTTTGGCAACAAACTGGTAAAGTTCAGAGTACTGGCTTTAAGGGTTTCCTTCGTAAGTCCAAGAGACGGGAAGAAAATATTGTGTTCTTCCGTGAGAAGATCTTGCCAGGCTTGTTTGATTTAACTACTCAATTTGTAGTAGTTCAATAAAGGAGCAATTTGATGGAACTTTGCTGGTCTATCTTGATATACTGAGGTTTGATTGTACTTGCTTACGAAAGGAAATATGCATGGCAATTGACTCTCCATGAATTTATTGAGTGAGTGAGTGTGTAGATTGATAGAACACTCTAAAAGTGTGCGGGCCGTTGATTGAGCCAAGTAATGATATGCCTCCGGTTTTGATGCCCAGAGTGGCGTGAGGCTGAATATGGCCACTAAATACTGGCTTGACAGTTCAGGAACAGTAAGAAAACTAATAAACGATTTGTAAAAAAAGATATGCTTCATATGATATGAAGTAAAGTGCTTGACTAGGTGTCGAAGCTATTATGACACTTAAGTAATGGGCAGGCCGTTGAATGAGCCCGGCAATGTTATGCCGTCTTTTGTATGCCCAGACATGCGAGCAGTAGAAATTAGCCATCATTTTTTGGCTTTCTACTCGAGTAAACAAGTTTTCATTCATGTGAATCATGTGAGGAAAATAATCATTTTACTGTGTTTTCTTTTACTGTAATTATATCTCAGCTGATGTGTACAACCACGGATTCTGGGAGGATGCAGCCGAGCTGAAGGACTCACATCTGAAAGAGTTGGCAGGGAAATTACCCGCAGTGGCTGTAGCTTCAAGAGCACCTGGAACAGTGGAGCAGTACAGGACTGCGTTCAACAAGTGGCGTGAGTTCGCCAGTAGATACACTGAAGTGGTAGCGTTCCCAGCTCTTCCGCTGCATGTAGCACTGTATTTAATGGAGCTGATACAAAGTTCTTCTTCTTTTTCTACTGTGGAGAAAGCTGCTTTTGGTATTAGATGGGCTCATCTCCAAGCAGGGTTGACGTCGCCAACGGAGGAGGCGGTTGTGAAAAATGTGCTGAATGCAGCCAAACGGCTTCTGGGGAAGCCAGTAGTTAAGAAGGAAGTCATTACTCCAGATATTTTGGCTAAGATTGTCCAGAAGTATGCGCATCTTGATGATTTAAGTAACATAAGGTCTTTAACACTGATGTTGATTTCTTACGCAGGTTTTCTGAGATATAGCGAAATATCCAATATCAAGTGTTGTGACATTTCTTTTTCCGACAATCATGCTAGTATTTTCTTACAGTCTAGCAAGACAGACCAGTACAGGGATGGCAGTTTGATTCCTATTGCCCGCACAGGGAAAGAGACTTGTCCAGTCAACATGTTGCTGAGGTATTGCAAAGTTGCTGATATAGATTTTGCATCTGACAGTTTTCTTTTCAGGGGCATTATTAAGACCAAATCCGGCTCGAAGCTTAGGAGTTCGGGGAAGCTGAGTTATACCAGGGCTAGAGAGTTAGTACTAGGTATGCTTAAGACTGTTGTATCTGATGTTTCACGTTTCGGCCTACACTCTCTTAGAGCAGGAGGCGCTTCAGCGGCAGCCAACGCTGGCATTCCAGAAAGGTTGTTCAAGAGACATGGACGATGGATGAGCGATAAGGCCAAGGATGGTTATGTCAAGGACAAGTTACAGGAAAGGTTGGCAGTGTCCATGGCTCTAGGGATTTAAACTGATATTAAAATTTCCCGTACTTTGATCATTTCGACGCGATGCAGTGTTCCGTGCACTCGCGCCCATCCTAACACTTGTGTCTGTGTTTCATTGTGTATGTGTGAAGAGTATGACTGCATCGAGTGAGAGGGATGCAGAGAAGTGAGGCAGAAAATGCTAATTATTTGCGTTTGAGGAGCTAACGGAGTTATCGTGACGAATTAGCAAATAATTGAGTTTCTGCAGTAACAGGTGTGGGCTGCAGGTGGAGGGATCACGCGTACATGGCGTGATATCCAGGTGAAGGGTAGGTATTTAGGTGAGTACAGTAGTAGTCTGTTCATTCGACGCAGAGCACAGCACCGCGTGTACAACAAAATTTTGTTGAGATGTGGAATAGTTGCAGTATATTGTCTAATTACTACTGTTGCAGTGTTAAGAACTTACTGGTTCTCCTTTGGTAAATCCTTATGTTTACATTATGTATGTAAAACTCTTGTGGTTAGATTATTGACACGTGACATTGTGTGTTGCCTAGATGACATTAAACAATGTTTCTGTTTTCCAGTACCCAGCTTATTGCTGCTGACAAGAAATCCCAGAGATGAGTTGTTGTTTGCGCTGAGGCTCTGGTGCACGTCCCCGATTTTTTTGGCCTTCGTACTTTCGGAAGGTTTTTTTTGGGGTTGCGTGGCTGGCAAACAACTAGACATTAGTTCTAAGACATTGTCATACAGTTTTAGTGGATTTTGACTACTCATTCGGATTTTGTTTGGAAGAATTTCGAACTTTGTTGACTATCATGTCAGGGTTTGGATTGTTTGTTTTGGACCTTCCGATTTCATTTCTTTTGAACTTCCGGCAATAAATCTTTCTGCGGTGTTTCCGTGCACTCGCGCCCATCCTAACACTTGTGTCTGTGTTTCATTGTGTATGTGTGAAGAGTATGACTGCATCGAGTGAGAGGGATGCAGAGAAGTGAGGCAGAAAAAAACGTTTCTTTCTGTTTAATATCTCATAGCATTTACAAATGATATGAAATTTATAAATGGTCGGTTCAAAAATCAACTAATCTTGCTTGTATCATTGTGATGATGTTGAGCAAAGAAATAACAACGCAACATGAATATCGGTAGCCACAGCTTTATTCTTCAATTGATAGAAGAATTGACGGGACGGCTAGGGTCTCTCTGACGTCTTTTGATGGTGGCAAGTCACTACGGTCTCCCGTTGCCATGGAAACTGGACTGCGCATTGACGTAACTGCTGATCCAGGTGACGTAATTAGCGACCTTGGCGTAGACCCCGGGTAGCCGGCCTGAGCACAGCCGTAGCCCCAGCTCACGACGCCGTACACCGTGCCGGAATCCACGACGGGACCGCCACTGTCTCCCTGCGCATAGATATGGACCAGTTGGTCATCAGTGGTGGGTAAGGATTTTACACAATGAACCCGAAACGAAGTATCATTTAGAAGAAAACATACGAAACATGAAAAAAGTCATTCTTTAAGCGATGTGAAAATTTTGTCGCAGCCTTAATTATAAGTGATAAAGGGGTGTTAACTACGCCAGTGAAGAAGGTGGTACAGTTACCTGACAGGAGTCCTTGCCGCCGCTCATGAGGCCAGCACAGAACATGTTGTTGGTCACCTCCCCGGCGTACGAGCCCGCCGCGTTACACGTGGACGTGGCGATGGTGGGCACGGTCACTTGGTGCAGCGCGTCTGGGTAGTTGGCTGTGCAAGTGGAATCAGAACAGCGGATGAGTTTTTTTTTTTTTAATTTCTTGTCTTGTTCATTAATTGTGAGTTTCTCACTGATTCTGCCTAGGCATTTTTCCTTCGGCTCTTAAAAGGTTTCAGACATGCATGTAGCTGGAAATTGAAGACAGGAAATGAGATAACCTTTTCTGGGACCTTCGACTTGACTTCCTGTCAGTGTTTCACGTGCCGAGCATAGGAAATATTACGGAAACACAAGCAAGACACACCGAAGACTAAACCTCCGTATACGGAGGTAACTAGTGATATGGACCTAGAATACTTACTTCCGCTGGTTAGAGTGTTTCCCCAGCCCGTGATGGTGACCCGGGTCCCGTCGGACACATGTTGCCCCTGCCCGGGCAGACACGCCGGGCTCACCCGGTTGTTGATGATGACGGGAGTGCTGAGCCTGATCAGCATGATGTCGTTGTCGAGGGTGCGGGAGTTATAGTCTAAACAACGATATGAGCACATCAGACATGGTTGTTTGTTTGTATATTCGTATACATTCAGTGAAATTAAAAACATGACAACAACAAAAAAACATGCAGGGGGGGCTATGTGGTAAGTTATAGCAACTAAAATGATAACTCGAAATCATTCAATAAAGTATCTACATTGTATATGAATCAGCATCTTATAGTAAAGAAAATGTATCATAAAGCCTTACTTGGATGTGGTATAACCTGGGCTGCCCCTATAGCCTGTTCGCTCCCATCGTTGCGCGATAAGTCATGGTCTCCGGCAACAACAGTCATCCTGTGTGCACTGTCGGGAAGAAGAGAACAACGTGTCGGGTAAAATGACTACTGAGTATTACATAAACCAGATAATAGTTACATTACAAGGCTCTAACACGATTCAACGCATTAGGCGTTTGCAGTCACAGGAGCATCACGGGCGCTATTCATTCATTGTTGTTTAAGTTATTCGCTATCGTATGGAGAACTAGAGGTCAAGGATCGTATACCTTCGTTTTGTACTTGTGTTGGTATCTGCACCATGTAATTCATTCCCCCAAGACGTATTAACTACTCAAAAATCAAGACCATAGCACCTTTGAAATACGACATATCAAATCAGGAAGTAGCGCTGCAGTACCTAAGAAAGCTGCTAAAATTCCCTTGATGGGGAATAATTCTAATAATTTGTGGTAGCAATGAATTGTCTATGTGTAACAGTGATATAATGATACAGTGATAACTGTTACTGTACTTGATCTTGCAGTGAGCGGCGCTGAGAACCCATTCGCTGCCGATGAGCGTCCCTCCACAGAAGTGGAAGCCGTTTTCCTGAAGAGACACCATCCAGGGCCAGCTGCCGGGGTTCGCCTCCGTCCCGCCGATGATGCGGTCAACGTACTGCTTTGGAGCATAGTAGGACCGCCCGCACTGCTGCGCCGCTGGGAACGGTAATTTCTCACCGTCAGGGGCTGACTGGGCCTCCTCCACGGAGGAGTTAATTGTGGCCATACACAACTCTAGCCATCCCCATTCCCCGTAATCTCCTAGCAGATCATACGGTGGCCAGGCACCGGTGGCTAATGGACACTCCTCTGGCTAATGGATGCTGCCTTACCACCGTATGATCTGCTTGGAGATTACATTCCCCGTACTACCAACAGGAGCTCAGGATTCTACACCAGGAAAATATTTTGAACCTCCTCACCAACGCAAATCACGACTTGTCCTTGACAGTACAATTCTGTAAATCAATATCTAAGATTCAAGAACAGCCGCGCTACTACTACTAAAGCATACGGAGCACAGCGTTGTTCACGTGACATTCTCCGCCAGCCATATCTGATTGACAGATGTCATGCCCTTGGCATTCTAATCGTTTAAAACAAAGGGGGTAGAGTGTCTCTATATGAATTGTGCAAATAAATAACGCTCTGATTTGCATACTTTGTACCTATCTATACCTACTCAGATTACCTAATATAGCTATATCTGACTAATATAGCTATATCTGACTAGCTACAGGTCATAACACGTAAGTTGTATAAAACTGCTTCTCATCAAACCTAGTCCTAACCAAATTGCTAGAAAGCAATAGCTATTGACTAGTTGAACGACTTTGGCTGTACATGTATGTTCTTTGCAGCCAAAGTGGTAAAATAAAGCACTTTAATATGAAATATATTCATATCCTTAAACGTTTAAAATCATGCCTCCGAATAAAAAAGCAAAAGAAATCTGTCAACAGCATCGAAAACATTTTCTTTTCCGATGACATACTATAGTGGTAAAACGGTACGTACCAGCATAGCAGACAAGAGCGAGGAAGACGAAGATGCGCATCCTGAGTTTGGGTAGGCCTTCTGTGGTAAAGAACCCTTGTCACGCCCACGTATTAATATACACATATATATAAATATACATACAGACCCTGTAAGTATTAGATAAGATACAAGGGTCATGTGGTTTAGACGACAGGTGGTAATTTCTCACCCAGGCATCTGCTATAATTGGTGCGTTTGATTATTGTGATAAGCGTTAGTATAAAAAATTATTGCTTTCATACTCTATTCTACAACCTCATATCAATTTTGGTAAATTTGGGATCGTTCGTGTTCAAACCAGTGCATACTATAGTAGGACCGTTACAAAAAGAATTAAAACATGAAAAGTTGTTTAGAAATTGTGATATAACTGCTGACCCATGGCGGATGTACGTTGTTAGTCGTGTGCTGGTACGGTAAATATATCCAAAACAAATTTGCAATGTAAACGTAAAAACCTAAAAAGTTACAATCCTACACGTTTTATAGGGCTGACTCATTGTGACTGGCGAATCCTACAAGTTAGATAGATCTTTATAGGGTCTTTACCTGTACCACGCGCCATACATTATATCCGTTATAATTGTTTCACAATATTGTATACCATGCCATCATTCCAAAAGGTTTTCCAACATCCTTACCAACAGCGCATGCACCGCTGAATTTCAAGGCATAATGAAACAAAGGAAAAAAACTGGTTATTATAGTCTATTTCTTAGTCCATTTTCCCAGAATGCGTCCTTAACACACGTCCTTGACCGACCAACACGGAAGAGTTGAGTGCGTCATAGTCACATGACTTGCCAAAGAAGACGTCACGTAGTTGTCGGCAAGGACGCAGGTCACCCAGACAGACACAGGTCCGGAAGGCACCATCTGCTGCCTCACTGCCTGTGAATGTTGCTTTTTTCCGAAGAACCATCTTATCCATTACTTATCACCCCAACCACTGTTCGGGTGTATATAATCTTGTGCACACAGCAATAAGCAACAACCCTACCTTCCCGATTGTATTTTGTTACTGAGAAGTATGATCTGTACGTGTACAGAACAGAACGTGTGGAGTGATGTTTGTTGTACCATGTTAGGATTTAGTCCTTCGGATGGTACCGTGCATGATAGTCCGTAGGTAAAGCACGGTTATTCAAGAACTCACCACACATATCGATAAGATAATGTCTACATTTACAACTCAGTGTGAGTGAACCAAATCCTACCATACTATGGACAATCAGACTGTCGGTTTGACGCTACATGTAAAGTGAGTTAAGATTATTCTATCTTAGCCTGGAGCCATACCATCGTAGCCCCTGTATCTATACGGTACTGGGAGTGTTGTCCGTGCGCCCAGGCCAATTAGCTACAGCGCACGCAAGGTTTTTCACGTGGTCGGTTTCAGTTAGGCCATGTTGATTTGATTATATGGATGACATCCTCTGGGAACCCCAAAACTGATGCGAGCGTGCGAATAAAAAAAAGTTTGGCCAAAAAAAAAAGTTGCTTTCATTATGAAATCTACGTGGTTTTTGAAGATTGAACAAATGACACAGAGTATGGTTTGGCGAATAATCTACTCTTCAAATTCATTTCTTTACATTTTCGTCTTTTTTGGGTTTGATTTTGGCATTCTACGACAGTGGTATCATTTTTTGCAACTTACGGTATGTCTTTGCTCATTTTGCAACTGTTTTGTACGATTTACAGTATGGTTGAAAACTTTTTTTTTTTTGGAAACGGCCGAAAATTCATGCGCGCGCGGATGTCATCCATATAATCAAATCAACATGGCCTTACTTCGTAATCAGAAAGGCAGGTTGGAAAGATGGGCTGTCAGAAAAAATGACCCTACTTTCATTCTAGCCGGTTAAATACCGCTAAGCTGGCCTGTGGGAATAGTTACCAGGCGAGTTCTATCTTTGAGTATACGTTTCCTTCTCGGTGAGATAAGAAGCACAGTACAAACACATGCTGTTGATTTACAGATGTCAGTGGCAGGTTATGTCAATTGCAAGTGACAGGTTAAAAAACTCTAGTTTGTCGCCCTTTGGCCTGTCGTTTACCATAAAAAGCCGGCGCCTTTCTTGTCTGGCTATTTAAATCCAGGTGAGGACATCAGGACGTGTGAAAGCTTACGGGTTTTGTTGACCTTCTCCCTTCCGGCTAACCCTAAAACCAATACAAATTTGGTGCCAAACGCTTACCACAGTAGGCTAAAGGTTACCATAGTAGTTTTAGTACTATTAGCAGGCTAATTGCTACCGTGGTACGATAGAGGGTGTTCTTAAGCTTGGGACAGTCGTGCACGTGCCCCTTAGTAACTCTTACATACTTGTGGCTAGCACGTCGGCAGAACGTACTGCACCTGCGTGAATAGCACTTCGGTAGAACGTCTCATATAAGGTTGTATTCGCTCATATAAGGATAGCATTTCGACAGTAGTTTCCAAATGTTATGTCGGAAAGAATATCCTCTGCAACAGGCAAAATTCTGATGCAACGTAGACCAAAAACCCAACGAAAAACGCGAAAATACGGGGTTCTGCGCAGGCGCAGTACGTTCTGCCGACGTGCTCTTGTGGCTGGTTCTGTGAGAACCATTTCGACGAATCACAGTTGTACAACGGCCTACGGCGAATATGACCGCGTCGTAAAGCATAAAAAAACTTACGTAAACACATATGATTATGCAATTTAGGAGGCCACTTTTTGGCATGAAGGTATGGGGTCGCAGAAAAAGAAAGAAAAATGCTAAACAATAAACGTTGTTACAGTTATTATTTTTATTCTGAAGATTAGCATATTTGAAAATATTATCAGGTCGTCAGGATGCTACTGCCGATGTTCTCGCGTTGAACCCGCCGTCTCAACCGTTGATGTAACTGTTGATCCAGCCGACGTAATTTGCCACCTTGGTGTAGACACCCGGGAACCTGGGGTCACCACAGCCGTAGCCCCAGCTCACGACGCCGTACACCGTGCCGGATCTCACCCCGGGACCGCCACTGTCTCCCTGTGCACAAACACGGGCATAGCCATCAACCATCAGACAAGTATAGTGTTAACCTCGAGAGATTCAAATTTGCAGTCACATTGGGACTGGGTTCTCAGCGAGGCTATGACGGACCCATGGACGGCCATCAATAAGGATCCATGGCAACATTTTCCAACACCACATGACCGAGGAAGGAAGAAATGGCCCTAATTTGCTGTGGTAGACCCGTCGGTCGACGAGAGTGTCAGAGCCCCGATAAAGTATACGTGCACCTCACTTGTGTGACATCAGCCATATAGAATTGTAATTCTTTATCTCTCTCCAGTAGGTGTCAACATATGTGTGTGGAGATGCGAGATTCAAACTAGGTTCACTGTATAACACGTATATCACTTTATGCCATGACTGTAGCAACCTGGTGAGGGTAAAACGAAACAAACATTTAGATAGAGGATGTAACATCAGCGAACGATAACTAATAGAGTTACCTGGCAGGAGTCGTTACCGCCGGCCGAGTGCCCGGCACAGAACATGTTTTCGGTGACCATCCCGTTGTAAGAATGTGGTGAGTTGCAGTGGGCTCGGGAGATGGTGTGCACATTCACTCTCTGCAGCTTGTGCGCGTAATGAGCTGGTCGGATCAGAAAAAAAGTATTGGTGTCAGTGTCATAGAGGAACAACAGCAAAACATGCTTAGTTCATGGCGTTCACTCAGTAACGATTTGACAGAAATAAGAATTCAACCAATCCATCAACAGTAACTAAAACATTGCAAGCGGCTGAGCACCACTACATGGGCGTTATCGACATGGTAGTATGTTTGGAATATTTCCCTTTAGCGATGAGTCGCCTCCTTGCCAAAAAGACTGAATCGGCACATATTCCATCCATCTGGTGAGGACGTTACGTAATGAGCTGAATCTCTGGGCGGATCCTCTGCTGACTGGATGACCTCATACCACCGCTCAGGTTAGGATTATCAGCGCGTCTGTTCAAAATGAACAAATATGACAGACAGAACACGTGCTGGACTAGTCTTTGGTGGGGAAGCGACCGAGAAAGCGTACTAAAGCTATAAGGTATAAAGGTACAAAAGATACAAAAGATATTGGTACAGTTCTTACATCCGCTGGGGTGAGTGCTTCCCCAGCCGGTGATGGTGACCGAGGTTCCGTCAGCCACCATGGCCGAGGGCAGACACGCCGGGCTGACCCAGGAGTTCAGGGTCACGGGATGGTTGAGCTCAATGAGCATGATGTCGTTGTCAAGGGTCATGTCGTTGTAGTCTAAACAACGAGAGATCAGCAGTGAACACAACTGTGCTTGTGGTTTCACGAAAGACTCAGAACATCTCAACAATCACGCACAGCTTCAACGACATGTTTACAGGGATGGTTACCTCCGGGCTACCCTTCCGGTGACCTCCCTCAATAAGAATATTTGACTATATATTTTATTGGTATTGTATTGGGTGCGTTTGTGTACGGCTGGCCCTGAAAGCCCTACATCTGCAGAGAGGGTGAGTGGATAATTGGTTACTGGATTGACAGGGAGGTTAAGCCTGAAGGTGACCCAGCTCGCGCCGGGTGGAGAAAGTGGGCGGCAAGTAGAGGAATTGAGCAGGTGGTTGACTGAACTGTCTGCTGTGTGTAATACCCGATTGAATTACGTCATACCATCCCCTCCACAATTCCAATACCAATATATGAATACTCTTCCTTGGATTTCTTTTTTTTTCTGCAAATATTGCAACCATTTGATCTGCAGCTGGCGCAATTACGTAACTTGAATTTATCTGAAAGAGTCAAAATAGGACAACGAATAGACGGTTTGAGTATGTTTTGCAGATGCAATAATAGAGTGTTTGTCCTGAAAAAATCACCAAAAGTCATAAGTATGTGAAGTATGATCTTACTTGGATGTGTTATGACCCGGATTGCCCCGACAGACTGTTCGGTACCCTCCAAACTGCCGAAGTTGTGTTCTCCGACAATAACCCTCAGGGTACTAGCACTGCCGACAATAAAATATATACAAAGAATGAAGATATTTGTACGGCTTGATCGATAAAACAGCCGGATAAATACACTAGTGGACAAAAATAATATTGTGGATATCAGCCGCTATCTGCTTGGATAGTGAATATAAGACATCAGTGGAAACTAGAAAAGATCAGTACATAGAAATCACTGTTCCTTTATGTAGATAGCTTTAATAACCGTGCGCTCCAGATGTTCTTTTCCCACAAACGACGCTGAAGTCATGCAACCGTGACATGTATTTCGGGAAAAGTGACAGCAAACATTACGCTGTGCTACAAAAACGTGTCTGACTACGCGTGAAAGAATTCTGCAGTACCTGACCTGGCAGTGGGCGGCGCTGAGAACCCATCGATCGTTGAGGAGCGCGCCTCCACAGAAGTGATAGTTGTTCTGCTGCAGGGACACCATCCAGGGGAAGCTGCCTGGGGTCGCCTCCGTCCCACCGATGATACGGTCCGGGTAGTACGACCGACCGCACTGCTGTGCCGCTGGGGAAATAAGGGGATTTTCAACACTCCTACTCAGACAATAGACACGGACATTTGAGTATAATCACGTTTCTATGTAATCTTCCGTTTTAGAATTGCTCCGTACAGTTACGGCACAAACGGCGTGGTAGTTAAATTCCATCTCTGCTGATCAACGTCGATGTCACTTTCTTCGCACGATCGCCGTACGATTTTTGGGATAGCCGTGCAACAGTCAGTTGTCTTGTTACCGAAAAGCCTATCTTAGATCTTTGCCGGCAGTTGGTTCAGTCACAGCCAGCTTAAAAATCCTCCGACATAGGATAACCGTACGACGGCCTACGACGAATATAAATGAGACCGCGCTGTAGTTAAGCAAATGCAGTGATGCACTGTCCATCTCCTGTTCCAATCCCCCGCCGTCTTCCAATCGAATCAAATTTCTGTATGGCTGGAGTCTAGAATAAGGTTTGTTCGTCTGCATCACGGTTTGTGTAAATTAGCGCAGTCAGCCCGAACACGGTCACCTCGACCGAACTTCATCGTTCTTTATGTATCTATAGTAGTATATAAGTCCGGCGATAGAGCTGATATTGTCACCTTATATACATGTTCTTCCTTTTTACACAAACTCTTCCTGAGGCATGACGTGGGCGTTTTCTCTACAATTGCGCAGTGAAACACAGCAGTGATTACAGCAGTGGTTACCTAGAATTGATGAGGTTGCAAATTACCAAAAGTTTCTAGCCTATCAATTGACGAAAAAAAGTAGATAAAGGCCTTCACGTGTCATTGGAAACCTTGCACAAGCACAAAGACTATTTGACACACTTTGGGGTCACATTTGCCGTAGGTCGTCGTGCAATGTTTATCACATTAACTACCGATAAGGATGTAACACAGTGTTAAAAAATGTCTGAATCTTTAACGACACTATCACGACTATCCCAAGAATGCCCTCGGTTCGCAATCGTACGACGATCATGCGGTACGACGTGTGTGACCGGACACTAACAAAGTAAAATTGTTGCATACCAGTGGAACAGACAAGAACGATGAAGACGAAGACGCGCATCTTCTGTTTTTAGCCGTCTGACAGAAGTCTACGATCCTCTTCTGAAGGCACGAGTCCTTGTACCGCCCGAGGCTTACATATCATATACACACAGCAACCATCAGATAAGATACGTATACGGGTTGTCTGAACAGGTGACGACTTTCCACACGATTATCGATCAACGTGTTTGTATAGAAAGTGTTAGAAATGAACACACCGATTCTATGTGTTCTACTCTATTCTAACTTATGATCTCACATCAGTATAAGCTTGTACATACATGCATCAGCTTTAAATCTGTAGAAAACGTGCCAGAACGGATGCAAAAACACATGAAAGAAACGAAGACAAGGCCTAAGTCGTGAGTTCTGACTTATACTGATGGCCTTGATGGCGGAGGTAATTCCTTCTATTGTGCTAATTACAAGTACGATATGTGTATCTAGAAAACATTTTTATCGATTCTCCTCCTTCCGTGAGTTTACACATGTTTAAACGTAAAAATGCATGGTCATGGTGTAAGTAGGGTGACCTCAGAAGTTTCACGTGCCCAGATTTGACAGGAAAGGGGCCTCGAGGGCTTAGAATTCCCAAACAAATGACAGTTTTGCAGACGATTATTTAATGGTAAAATAGAAATGGTAGCAGATTTATACAATTTCCTCATTAATTATGCAAATTACATCCTGATTTGCATAATGCGTCAACCATCACGACAAATTGTCCATCGGTTCTTGACAGAAGATTTTTAAACAACCGTTCCTGCAGTCCCAGAAGAAGCTCCTAGGGGGACCAAGAGCTAACAACCGTTCAAAATTCGTGACCCTTGCTTGTTCAGATCACGAGATATGAATACCGGTTCTGCTGAAGTACCACTACGGATAAGACGCTGATCATTTTGAAGTGTCATCAACACCTACCAAACTAATGTCGTGCTAACGCACACACACACACACACACACACACACACACACACACACACACACACACACACACACACACACACACACACACACACACACACACACACACACACACACACACACACACACAAACAAACAAACACACGCACACACACACACACACAAACAAACACACGCACACACACACGCACACAAACAAACACACGCACACACACGCGCACACACGCTACCAAAACATACTTTCAAAAGTAATAATTGATAACGAGATGCATATTTGCGTATTTGAGAAGGTCTCACAACGGAGTAAAACTAAAGCCTGTATATTCCTTCATCAACTCTGCGACCACGGTTAGAAGTACGGGGTGCAGTCACACACAGGACCGGAAATGCTGACACAGGCTGTCGATATCAGAACCCGATCGTGGGACGGCGCCATGCGTAACTAGTTAACTCAAGGTGGCTATTTACCAGAAAAAGACATCTAAAAGCCCACGTATTTGTTTTACACGGGATGTTTTTATCGTTTTCCTATTGAACTGAAGGACATCAGGCGGCGGGTGGGCCTGAGAGCCGCCACATGTTCCGGTGACTCTACTAATAAAATTTGAACCTGCGTCAGCTGTCAGAACTTTGGAGAGTTTTCATTATAGGGCCAGACAGCCGTAGCCCCAGCTCACGACGCCGTACACCGTGCTGCCTCTCGTGACAGAGTTAAGGATGGACAGTTGATATGATTCAAACTTCATTTGAAATACATACCCAACTGACAATTGCAAAGGACGATACAGATACAGCAACGTAAAAAGGTTAAAAAAATAGTCTGAAGATCTATCTGATGTTTAATCATGGTAGTTAGTGAATATACTAGTAGGTGAAAGTATAAATCAACTCTGGTGGTTCAGGTAAAAAAAAATATTTCTTCATTTCAACGGGTGAGGGCGTCGTGGCCATGACCCGTGTTACCTGTATATGATATGCAGATAAGTATTTCAATACTATTCAAATCTTGAAAATATTTTTTGCTTTATTCACTAACGCTGAGATCTTGTTGCAACTGTTTTGTTACACGACAGATAATCATAACACGATTTTCATATGATGAGGCATAGGTTTAGCATGGCCTACCAAGTCTAACGATATAAACTCAAGCAGCTGTGTACGGAGATTTTCCCCTGTTGTTGTTTTTTTGTGGGAGGGGGGGGGGTACGTAGTCATTTGAATACAGAGGACTCAAAGGAATTGAAGGGGAAAGTCAAAATGGTCTACACTAAGGTTGGAAGGAATTGACAATGGAAGACTACAGAATCAGCGAGGAATTCACAATAATGAATAAAAGAGGACATTTACAACAACTCCTAATGTCTTGTCCCAAAGTGATTCATTGGCTAATGTACGGGGCTGTAATAAAAAGAAAAAGAAAAACGCCAACAACACGTGCTGTTATGACAACACATTTATTCTGCAATGTGTTGAAGATCTGATCAGCACATGGTTTCGTGCCGAAACGGCTGATTTAGTTGATGTAACCGTTGATCCAGGAGTAGTACCTGTTCACCTTGGTGTAAACACCCGGGAAGTTCCGCTCGGCACAGCCGTAGCCCCAGCTCACGACGCCGTACACCGTGCTGCCTCTCGTGACAGGGCCGCCACTGTCTCCCTATGTAGGTGCATATAGGCAAATCACACGGTTACTTCTGTAGAAGACCGTAGTAAGAAGGCCTAAAACAAGGCCTCAGCAAAGTACTTATTGCCTTATTTCAATCGTCTCTCTCTTCCACCAGAAAATCACACGGACCTACTTGATAGCCACATAAAGAAAACAAGAATTCGGAGATCTCATACCTCTTGTGAAGTTATACTGACAACAAATGTGTGGAAACACACGCACAGACAGACACGCACACAAACACATGCAGACACACACGTGCACACAGACACACCAAAAACGATACCTCCATTTTTCATGCAGGTAAAAAAAGGTGTACGTTGACCAGCTCTTAGCACAGCCTTTGACCCCAGCTTGTACTGTATCCATTCACTCGGGGCATGCAAGGCCTACCAAATCAGATATGTCCTTACGCCAACTAAACCGGTGAACTGAACAAATTCTTACCAAAACTGGCTTAGATCCTACTCGTTTCCTTTGTAGGTCTAAACCTTTTTTTTTAAATCTTATAACCCCCAAAATCTCTAAATTGGATCAACATTTTAAGGGGCAGAATGCTTCTCTAGCACTCAATGCACCCAGGCACTAGAATTTGGGGCGTCAAAATGAGCGAAAGTAGTTTGTTCGATAGGCGTTACCTGGCAGGAGTCCTTGCCGCCATCCATGTAGCCGGCACAGAACATGTTGGCGGTGATCTCACCGTCGTAAGAGTTCCCGCCGTTACAGGTGGCACGGTTGATAACAGGCACGTTCACCTTCTGCAGCCTGTCCGGGTAGTTAGCTACAAGTTGGATCAGAAAAATGACTTTGGTGGTGATGTCACACAAAAGGACCGGCAACAAAATAAGCACAGTTCAGCAATACGGGCATGATTGTAATTAATTGAAAAAGTACTATGATTGTTGAACATAATAAAAATGATACATTTTGGTAGCCTCCCTCGCAGACTTGTTGGGCGTCGGCGTTAACGTTATTTTTTCGCGAGTAATATGCCGCGGAGGGACGATTTCGAGCGCGCCCAACAAGTCTGCGAAGGAGGCTAACATTTTGGTGTTACAAGTCCCCGCGCAATCAATTTGCAGTATTTCTCAATAGATCAATGCTATAGCCCCGCCCACCTCCGTCAAAAAGTAAAACTGGAAATACGTGACGGATGCACAGCCATGTGATTGGCAGACGGGATCGACCCGTGGTCTGTAGGTTACTAGTACTTACTTCCGCTGGAGAGAGTGTTTCCCCAGCCGGTCACGGTGAGCACGGTCCCGTCGGCCACCATGGAGGACGGCACGGTCGCCGGGCTCACCCAGCTGTTAATGTTGACGGGATCCCTCAGCTGGATCAACATGATGTCGTTGTTCAGGGTTTGGTCGTTGTAGTCTAGACAAGGAGAACAAAGTGTTCGTGGTTGTAAAGATTATTGTTACATCAACAATCAGCATCAAGCAGCAGTACATCATCACTAGAAATAAAACCTCGTTGTATCAAGTGAGGACATTTTTAAATGGCACCCATGGTCTGTTGTAACAAGGACATTCTGTGATACAACCTCCTTGGTTGTAAGTATATCTTTATGTAGCTCTTTTACAAAAAAAATGACTGTCCGTACTTGCATGACTTTTCCCCCATTTATTTGACCGATTTTTTCTGTCTGCAAATGACACAGGGATATAACAACAAACAGTAGAATGAAAAAATGATGTAAGATATGTGATCTTAGTCCAATAACACATACATGTGCGTCTTCAAGAATGGCAGAGGATAATTAAGGATGGGGAATATATAATTGTCACTTACTGGGATGAACGATGACCCGTGAGACATGTTTGCTCTGCTCATGATCGTTGTGTGCGCCGCTCAAGTCGTGCTCTCCCAGAACCACAGTCAGACTGCTAGCACTGCAGATAGCAATAACACAACATCGTATACTCTCAGCTGAATTTGAGCATATCCAGATTGTAGTGATACAGGACACGTGACACAGACAGCAACTTGCTGGTACCGGTGTCGTGTACAGAACACATCAATTGCACACTTCAAAACAGCGTCTATGCAAGTATGAATACATACAAATCAGTGACTACAGGCCTAAAAGAAATACAATGATCATGCTTCCTTCAACGATCGTTGCATTGCACAATCAAAATTCAAGAATAGTTCATCCCAGTTCAAGTTTGTGCAGTCTGGCCGCCATGATGTTGTGATTATGACTACCTTCTCAGGACAACTGATGCTTCAGCTCTGCATTGCATGGCCCTGCATGTGTGAGCAGAAAATGACCGCACTTTATGTGACTCTTTTTTCGATCTCCTCTTGTGATGAAGTGGCCAGTGAGGTGGGACAAGGCCATGTACCAGCTTGTACATAACTATCATGGGGTGAGAGACTGTTCTGGTCGACAGTCTGTCCTATTCAAGCTCCTGCATGAATGTCCTTGAGGGTGTTCGTTTCAAGGCTCCGCTAATGGACACCCGGATCGGTAGAGAGAACTCGCGCTAACATCTTCCACGATGAACTACCGGGGTCCCTCAGCGGTACTACAGAGGCGTACTCCGGGTCGGACCATCGTGTTGAACGTCATTTCAAGTGCCTTCCGGGATAGCTTGTCTCGGAGCCTGATGCACAAGACCTTGCATTTTTCTGGATGTATCTTCAGGCCCAAGTCATGGAAACCAAATGATACAAAATGTTGTGCTTGCCACTTCCTGTGCCGTGGATCCCAACTTGTATAGAGCATCATCAGTAAAACGTTGTAGGTAGCAGTTTTATTTCATTGACAAGGAATTAGTAGAGGACTCAGAATTCTTCTCTGTGGCACACCTGCCCTTATATATCCCTAAGTAGCCATGCCGCCCAGAGATTGTCATCTGCTTGACTTTGTGAACAGTGTGGAGTGATAGCTGAGCTCAAGGACGTGCAATCACACGATGAGAATGACTTACCCAGCTATACAAGGAAGTGATAAAAACTCCAGTACCTGACTTCGCAGTGAGCAGCGCTGAGAACCCACTGAGAGTTGAGGAGGGTGCCGCCGCAGAAATGGCTGTGGTGCTGCTGCAGAGACGCCTGCCAGGGGAATTGGCCTCGGGTAGCCGTCGTCCCGCCGACAATGCGGTCTCCATACTCCTCCGCCGCTGGGTAAAAGTACGAAAGAGCAAAATTACACCCTCCGCAGTCAAAACTCTGAATATACTCCACATCTATTCTATAAGATTAACATTATTATTTACAACAAGCTATTCTGCTGGTTTACGCACAGAGGCTACGGAAGAATGTAGAACAGCGCAACACAGCCTCAGAGAGATTGTAGTTTTGGCCCTTCGTACAAAGGGACTTTCCTTTCAACAAGGGGTACAGCCAAGGCGCTTTGATAATGCCCAATCATCCTTAACTTTTCCGTTTACATCAGTCAATGCCAAGTTTTCTTGAATACGGAATTTGAATTTGGAAAACTAATAGTAATGTGGTTCTGGTAAGTTCTGGTAATATCGTAGGCTTTGGTAAAATTTACCGTAACAAATATAAGTTTTATACAGGAGATAGCTGTATGGCTCAACACCATACGGCGTGCTAGAAAAATCTACTAACATCGGTGTCACACAGCAGAAAAACACCTCGCCGGACTAATCTGTGACCTCTATAGGACATTTTCGGACGGATGTTTAGGGCCCTGACAATCACTGTGTATGATCCCCGTCTTCGAAGGTTCAATTTTCAGGCGAAAAATAATCTCGACTCTGGCGATTTTGAAATTCGGCGACCCTCTGACGATCAACAATTTCCGCTCAAGCTAAGGCCGTTGGCATTGTGAAGCTAGCACAGAGGACAAAATGCTATAGCTACCTACCAACGTAACAGACAAGAGCGAGGATGACGAAAAGGCGCATGGTGAGTGTCAGTCGGTCGGCGTGAAGAAGCTACTCCAGGCAAAGACTGGTGGCTTAAGTGTACGTGAACAACGAATATATACACCCAGTAACCATCAGATAAGGTACTCTAGGTACGTAAGATGTCTGAACAGGTGGTGACTTTTCACACAGGTATGTGTGCGTCTCGAGATAAGGGTTAGCGTTAATCCATTTCAGATAGCCTTTAAAAGATGAAGACGTGGTGTAGCTGTGATAACTATTGACCTCTACTAGACCTTGGCGGAGGTGATCCTTTCCTTTGCGTAGTTTGTACGTTATTTATACCGTAGTATGTATAACAAATTTGCTACCAATTCTCCTCCTTCCGCGAGGTTATGTAACTAAGTCATTGCGTAAGCGTTAAAGATAATTAGTCACGAGCTCGAGCCTGCTATTCTTCTTGATACATCAGTGTTCTAGTAACCTAGCAACCATTCTTCACGGACGGGCTTGACGGGCTGTAGCCTTTTTCTGTCAGCCTATGTTTTCAGCCGGCCTTTCTCATTCCTGCTGTCCCGTAGACGTCTCGACTCTCCCTCGCTTCTTGGCGAAGTCATTGAAACCACCACGGTATAAAAACTCGCCAATTGGCCTTGGCGGGCGGGTAACACCCAACAGATACCGTGGAGCTCTTAATCTGTTGTTACCAGGCTAGTGCCATGGTCATATCTGAGCAGATACTGTCCTATATACACCTCGTATTGAAGTCACCTGACTCATCAACCAGTAATGGTGAGTTGGACGGGATATTCAAATAATGAAAAATTTCCTTGAAATATAGCACAAGTGCAATTATCTTGTGAAAAATAATAGACAGCTTTAAAATAACATATAGTTTCTTTTCTTACAAATACATTGCAGTGCATATTTGAGATGGTTATTCCTGGACCTTCAGCAGACCACAGGTCTGTATATATTTGAATAATTTTACCACAGTTATTGACACAAGTTATCGATATCTGCACCTTGTCACGGGACATTTATACGCACCCAAGGGCAGTATGACGTCTTTTGGCTATCATTTACCAAAAAAAATGACACCTGCCTTCCCTGCGATTGTTTAATGCAGGATGTGGTTATCTTTTGGTTATTTAAGACAAGGACATCGGCACATAAAGTGCCCTGAAGGACAGTATGCATTCTTGTGCTGCTTCAATACAATTTTTTTCATCGTAACTTGGTGGAGGTTTTTCATTGTCAGGCTACAGCTGTATACTGACATCAATGTTAGGTACATACCCGGACCTGTACCTGTACCTGTACCTGTACCAGTTTGGCCAATCATCTGTAAGTTATACTTGTTGACAATTGTCTTGTCTTTCACTCCAAAAGATCTTTGAGATGCAATTGACATAACTTTCGTGCAAAACAATGCTGTCCAGTAGTGTTTCATTTTGTTCAGGTGCTCAGTGATTTATTTTGTTCAGTTGCAGGTATACAAGATAATAATTGTACAAGTGCAGGTACATGACTTAGATACACAGAACTAATTAAATTAGGCACAATACAGGATAAATGTCAAGGATGATTATATCGATCGTCACCATTGTGTGGAAAAGCAAATGAAGCCTTGACTAAGACCAGCTCAACCAACCACCAGCCATGACATTCACTCAAATAAACCACATTAGCTCTTTAAAGGCATATTTTCATGTATTTCATTTTAGAGTTCAACAACATACTGATAACATCACTGATTGTGTTACAAAATCCTGTATCACTCAATTACACATTGCCAACAATCCTAAAAAATAGTGCTTTCTTATTTGTAAAAAAGTAGTTTCATTGTGATAACCGTCATTATATCCATACCACATTAATGCACTGAAGCACCCTTACAATAAGGTGTTCAGGATACAAAAAACCTTACATGCTCAGTAACCAGTAGATAGGCATAGAAGACCTTCTGAATCAGCATGCCACGTGGACTTACAAAGTTCACACTAACTCTCCATAAATAGATGGGCAGACTGGTTGCCCTGTCGTACGAAATGGTAAATAAACAAACATAATGGGTACAGGATACCGTCTATCAGTGTTCTAATTATACCATACCGCAGGAAGGGTGTGCATGGAAGCACATGTTGGTTTTAAAACCCAGCTCAGTTTCATGGCAGTATGAAGAACACCATGAAAATAAAACCACTGTGAACATTCAAAATTTGCAGAATTCCAACTGGAAGGGGATCTGGATAATGGTTGTTTATGGAAACATTTAGAATAAAAAACTCCACTGTTACTGGAAAGATGACTGGGAATGACAAACAAAAATACGATTTTTCCAGATCTGTCTTTCATTCTATGAGTATATCTCTCTATGACTATTCTTAGCATATTCTACAAAAGTTCAAGGTCTTGCAAGCTCATGCTGACAACAGGTTCCTTAAGAATGTTCCATATTTCAAAGTTAAGGATGAGTACTGTATTGTCGATATTCTAGACAAGTTCTCCACAGTTAGTGATGACCACCCTTTCTGTGGGTTTTCCAGATTTGGTTCCAATTTTCTGTAAGAAAAACACATGAACACAGACATCATTAGATTAGAAACCACACATATAGAAACAAATAAATCAAACATTGACTTGTTCCACCACAACAAGGAAATCACAATCATACTACAGTTCCCCAAAAAGACTGGTATCATGATTCACATGTAACTTGATATTCTGGTTCATGGTCTGTGCATGTGCAAGGTCCTAGTTATAACAGATATTGTCTAAACCAAGCTTGATGCTGTGTCCAGACAGGTTTAATTTATGTGTCATAGGCCTTCAACTTAGCAATGCATCACACTCCATGTGCACAATTCAAACCGTGAACTGGCCTATGATCAGCCTTTACACTTACTTTTGCTGTTTTCTATCTTTGCATTAATCAATTCTGTGGCTCATTGCTTCCTTTACAATGAGTACCCTCCACAGTAGCTGTTTTACTATTAGAGAATGGCCCTTTTAAAACCTCACCTCGATTTTTCTGACCACATCAATGCCCTCTATTACCTGTCCGAAGACCACATGCTTCCCATCTAACCTGCATGGCAAGAGGAGAAAACGGTTACATGGACATGTGCAGCAGCAGTAGTAGTGCCCTTAAGAAAACTACAGTACATTTACAGTACTGAAAATGAGTACCTAGCTTTGACTAGGGATATCCCTCCAATAGGACATTAATAGAGGTCCTGTGCTTAAGGATACATACACAGCATCAGCGATAAATTCACAATAATGAATAAAACAAGATACAGTGTAGTCACAAAATACTCAACAGAGGTGAGAGATATTTGATTCTTGTCTGTGGCGTGAAATCTTACCAGGGCGTTGGAGCAGTTGTCATGAAGAACTGGGAGCCGTTAGAGTTGGGCCCAGAGTTGGCCATGGACAGAATACCTGAGGTAAACATGCCAACAGGTAACAAAGTTACTCCAAACTCAGCTTCGATGGTTAGTGTGGGTTAGAACAAAAGGGACACTCATACTCAATACTGGTTCACCTCTCCATGATACCTTCCTTCAATAAGACAAAACTAGTTTTATAAGCTGGTTCATAGTTCCAACTGCATGGTATGATGTATTGTGGGACCTTGTACTTTGAACAAAGGTAATATCAATTATGTATATAAGTGTAACACAGTTGTAAGATACAAAAACATCAAAGCTGGGCCCATCATGACACTACACTGACCTGGCCCTGTGTGCTTGAGTTCAAAGTTCTCATCCTCAAACTTCCCCCCATAGATGGACTTCCCTCCCGTCCCATTGTGGTTGGTGAAGTCACCACCTTGGTTCATCTGGTGAAAGTTGTCAAGGAAAATCCTCCGCATATTTCTCCAGTAGATATGGGAGCCTAACATTATCTTTAGAATATTTGTAATTGTTTAATAACTACAATGTACTTAGAGTAGTTGCTCCAGATAAGAAGGTAGACAATGTGTCAAAACCTGATCATCACTAATGACATTTGTGTTTAGACAGAACCATACAAAGTCTGGAGCTAGAAGTTCAAGGGTTAGGTGTAACAAGTCGATCGGTGTAATATAGCCAGCTGCCACCGCGCCGCGTGCCTGCGAAGCTGGTGTGTTATGCCGAAAGGCGGTTATACCGGCTATACAGATACAGATACTATTCATATGAAAGTACTGGATAAAAGAGGGCTTTTTTCACCTTGTTTCAGCACCATCTAGCAATTACTTTGAGTACTGCACCACATCAAACTTTGGAAATAAGCTAAGGCAACACTCTACATTGTTGTCATTAACATTAACAAGGACAGTACACCCCTGCGGCTTGATTGATTGTACACCCCTGAAGGATACAAACTGTGGGATAACCCTGTGGAATATGCTCCCCTTGTATCCAAAGCCTTTTTCATGGGAGCAAAGGCACCTGAAGTTCTCTGCAAAACAAAACATAAACATAAAATGTAGGTTATTTCAAGGTTGTGTGATACAAAAAAGACAAAAAGTACCTTTAGGACTCACTTTAATAGTTTATGTTACAAGTGGCATAAGGAATAGACAGGAATTTTTTATGTGTGTGTTGGTTAGTGGATTAGGGTGAAACTAGAAATAAATATGTTCAAGGAAAAGAATGATTTTCTAAAGGAAATTGATGAATTGAGAAGCAGTGTGGAATGAGAGGAAAAATATGTACAAGAAGTCACCAATATCTCCAGGCAACCACCTGGCTAATTCTTGATTAAATGTCCCCTAGACTAGCAAACTTCCTGTTTGGCTTACCTGCAGTTTTTGGTACAATATCAGCTCTAAGAAGAATGACTATCCTGCCAGCCTGCCGACTCCCGATCTTGATATCCATGAAGACCTGAGGGTTACTCTTTGCCCTCTTGGTTGCTGGCTCAGCCATCTGACATGTACAGACATTGCGTCAATAAATAAATCTGACATACAACTACAATGTGCAATACTGTAATATTCTGCCTGTCAATCTTCCCCCCATGTGCTGTCAACCTGATCTATCTGGAAAAAAAAAACCCAGCTCAGCCACCCATAACAATACTTTTGTACTTACACAAAAGTAACAACATTGTCTGTGCACTAACAAAAATAAGGTAGTCCTAACAAATATAGTTACTTTGCAGTATAAAGATTCCTATGTCACCAGTATGTGATTGGTTCTTAGTATAGTGAACTTATAGCATTTTTTAAACATTTGATTTTTCCTGTATTCCATGACTCTACAGGTGTAATCCAGGTGTCACACCTGTCCAGACTCCTCTGCAGGTCTCTTCTCCCCAGGCTCAGATGATGATGACGTCCCCGCCCCCTCTGTCTCCCCCTCGTCCAGGGTCTTCCCTGCAAACTTCTTCAGCCAGGCATCATCAGACCAAACTGTGTCAAACAGGGGTAATACATAGTCAGGAAATCAATCCAATTGGTAATTACATGTATCTCACAAGGGATGGGCCTCTACTCTTTCTGAGAAGTGTGGTGAGATCTTAGACATGCTCAAGGTGTGATTCTCCTGGTACATGGGAGACCTAGAGATTTATGTCCCGGCCAATAGGATGTCCTTAACTGAAGCTAGGTACTCATTTTCACCTGTATGATGTACCAGTACCAACCACTACTATGCATCTATTGGCAACAAACATTATTGATAAGCTTCAAACCATCGTAAGCCACTTTAGAAATGAGCTTACCTGCTTTCATGGACCCTTCCTTCAGTTTCATGGGCTTGGCCAGGTTACATCTGATGGTTCTTCCAAACAGCTCAGATTCATGCTGGGGGAACAAACACTCTTACTGACTGACTCACTCTAGCATTATATTCAAATAAGAAAGGTAGCAGGGGCAGTAGCAGTAGTTATACAGTATCATTGAACAAACAAAGGTTGTATATATCTAAGATTACTCTATACATAAATACAAGCACAGTGAATAGGACCTGTATGTTCAAACAACCCTAACCCCTAACACAGGGCTGATGGAGGTGTCAATAACATACTAGTAGGGGATGGCCTCAACTACAAAATGTATAAATAGGCATCCATCAAGCTTCAGGATCTGTCTGACTTACCATATTGTCTATGGCAGCTGCAGCATCCTGAAATGATGATAAATCATCAACAACACAATCAAGAATGGTAAAACAGTAACAGATTAAAAATTCTACAACTTTACTGTTTAACTGGGGCTTGACAATACAAAATCAACAAATACATCATGCATGCATCTTCTTGTATAGTTCAAATGAAATGAGCTCACTAAACATCACCTAAATCAAATTGATACATCTTGCTAATAATAGAAAAGCAACTATGGTATATATAAGATTTTCGCTACGCAACGCTCGAAAAAATCACTTTTTTGAGCGTTGCGTAGCGAAAATCCGGATGGTACCCAGGCTATATATGTAAGACTAAACATTGGAAAATGTTTAGACTTAACATTACAATGCTGATGATGTACTATGGTAGTAGTAGTAGTATTTACCTCTGCACTTTCAAACTCCACAAAAGCAAACCCTCTGTGCTTCTCTGAACATGTCAGTTAAGGACTTCACAAAAACATTGTCTCTACAGCATAATGTGTGTAGGCAAAGTCTCAGTTCCTATGCACAGGGCTTGAAATTCATCTTTGGGAATAGGTGCACTGGTGCCCCCAACCTAAAAAAATAGGTCCACAAAATTTTTTTTGGGTGCACCATTATAAAACAAAACCTAATTACAGATCTTACTGCTCCTCTTCTAAGCTGGAATCTGAAATAGGAGCTAACTTCAAAGGCTTAAACAAGTACAACAACAATTTTATGATTTTTCTGACATAGATGCCAAGAATACCCTGTATACTATTATACATTAAATTTTGACATGATACCTATAGAAATACACTTGGGTGCCAGAAAAAAATTGGGTGCACAGCTCCAATTTTGGGTGCACTAAGGTGCACATGCACCCAGTATTTTGAGGCCTGCAGCAGGAAACTGAAGAGAGTAAATGAGACAACCTTTTCTGGGACCTTTGGCACCTGTCAGTGTTCCCAACATACCTCGCATACATGGAAATGACAATGGAAACATAAGCAAACACCAAATTTAAAACCTCTATACATGAGGTAACAAGCTGATAGTGATGCATGTCCGATGTTGACGTTCCTGATGAAAGGATACGGGTCTCATAGTCCAGAGGGATGTTGATGTCCACCAGGTCTCCAAACGGGATGAAAGCTGCATGGAGGACTTTTTCATCGACCTCCTCAGCAAGGCCACCTGGAGGTAACATAAGGTACTACAGTGATTTTCTGTAAGTGTGCAGGCTGATCATAACTAGCCTTTATTTGGCCCGTGAAGCTGGGAGGGGCAACATACTGTCCATAACGAAGTTAAGGGCATGTACAGGTAACGGTGGTTCAGTTAGCCCTAGTTACGAGGGTTGTCAAATTAAGATCAAGTTATATGCGCTATATGCGACATTGAAATATGATTAGAAATAATATACAATGCAGGGCTTGAGAACTGCAAGTATGCTGTGGTGAGTCGTGTGTCTGGAACTCCCAAATATAACTTTTGTAGGTCACATAAAAATACTACCACGTCCCACGTTTCGCCTTACTAGCGCTATATAAGGTACATGCCCCCCTCCCCCTTCTGAACATTTCGGGCATCATCAATAATTACTGCCTGCGTACATGGGTGGCATTATCTTTTCATAGAACACTTCTAAAAAAACATCCGTATCACTGAAGAATCAACAGGATTATAAATGCGGAACGGAAGACTAAGTCAAGAGAGATTTACTCACCAACGTACACGATGCGTTTCGTATTCGGCGCCGCCATTTTGAGAAATACTTGGATTATGCCACTCTGCCGATGGGGGTGAACAGTTTAGTCAGTCCGCGACGTCTATCATACTGTGCCAATACTGCAGCTTACGTGTCATTAGAGCAGAATTGTATAGAGCACCGGGCTTGAGCACTTAGGCAGGCTTTACAAACATCAAAAAGCTTGTAAAATGATGGTCCATTCTAACAACATTTCTATCAAAATATTTCATGTCTAGCAATGAAATGCACGACAAATTATTGCATTGTTTTCTTTTTAATGTCTACATTCTTGCTTCCCATTACTTATAATACAATGTACATGCAAAATTTGACCAATATACCTCACTATGAATCAAAATATATTTCTCAATATTTAGACATTTCCTAGAATAGAAATAGACTTGTTATTTACAGTGTGGGGTCTGTCCTTGGTGCTGAATAAATTTCATACACAGGATTGAAATTGTATGTTGTGAAAAAGTTGTTTTTTAACAATCAACTATACATACCTGATCTTCAAGAACCACAGTTCACACACTGAGCTCATGACACATCCCTAATTCTGTGGTGGTTAGATAGGATATACTGATGATTTTGTCTAAAAATATTAATGAATTAGTGACATTTTTTCTTATATTTATCAGCTTATGACCCACTATCCATTGCAGTAAGCAACTGCAAATGGAGAGAACTATTTGTACATATGTTCAGCATCATATTCTTTTTCTTATCATGTAATGGTTACAGTAGCAGTAGGACATGGAAGATATCATTCTACTTCAATGTCAAGTAGGCAAAGCAATTTCAGCCACCTTAAGACAACATTTCTAGCAGATTTACATAGGTGACTGGATGCACAGAAATGAATTGCAGATGTTTTATTGAATAAGCAGATTTGGGACAATGCGTAATGACTACCTGAAAATTTTTTACATCATTCGAGAATCGTTACAACATTATTTAACATCATCCTTGATGTTGTGATGGACAGTTAGTGAAGACCTCCCTCACCAGGCTCTAACAACAGGTATCTTTTTAGCCTAGGTGCCACAGAAAGCTCCGTGATAACCTTCTCACATCGCGCCCCTAGAAGCGTACGGACCGCACTCCTGCAGGCATGTTGTAGAGTAGGAGGGGTCTTTCCCAACCTGAACACGGCTTCGTAAAAACTTTGGTTTTCCTCAAACACATCCCTTGGGAGCACCTTCTTCCACTTACTGTCTGATTCCAGGGTGCTGTAACAGTTCAGGAGGACCTCAATACTGGGGACAGCTCTCCCACACAGCTCAAACACCTTGAAGAGAGTCTTTGGATTGACCGGCCAGGCACCATTGTTCAGAAGGAGCTGTACACACACTTCTGGTCTCCCAGCTTCTCTCCTGTACATGGTGGACTCCAGCGCGTGGCAGATCGGTGTCTTACCGTACCAGTCTCTGGAGTTGAGCTGTGATCCGCTCTCGATCAGGAGTCGGACAATGTTGTGATCGCCCCTGCGACAGATGGTGTGTAACGGCGTCAGGTGATCATTGTCTGTCTCCTGTAGATCTGCACCTCCCTTGATCAAGTTTGCCACCGTGTCGTAATACTTCCTCTCGCCTGTCGTAAAATAGCACGCGACCGTCATGGGGGTCTCCTTCTCCACATCCTTCAGGTTTGGGTCTGCACCGTGACGGCACAACAGCTCCACCAGATCAGCGTATCCCAGCTCAGCTGCTATGTGAAGGGCGGTACTGTTGTCTTTGTTCTCTGTACGAGCATTTGGATTGGCTCCATGCTCCAGCAGTGCACGGGCACATCCCAGGTAGTCCCCCTTCTTGCACAGGTGTAAGGGATACAGTCCACTCTTGTTGTAGTACTCTACATCAGCTCCATACTCTACCAACAGCTTGGCACACTGAGCATGTCCGTTCTCACATGCAGAGGAAAGGGGGGTCGTCCATTCTTTCGGTGCAAAGTCAACCTCTGCGCCCTGTTCCAGTAGATACTCCACGATGTCGCTGTGCCCGTTTGTTGCGGCCAGCTGCAGGGGTGTGGTGATCTCTCGGGCAGAGGTGACAGAGTAGAAACCTGTGAGAGGTACAAAGAGACATGTATGGCATTATAGACTGTTCCATTCTAAGCTTTTACGGATCATGTCACATTTATAAACTGATACCATTTTGAAGAGTTTTACATTTACTGGTATTTTGTCAGTTCTCGATGATAAAAATGTACACCATGCATCTTAACATTTACACACACAGACTCTCCCAAGAGGGCACTACCACTTATGCTTCAAGCCTTGAAGGTATATCAATTAATACATTTACCAAAGTCCAAAGTCTTCTTAATATGCTTAGGTAGAGATTTTCCCAGTTTTGTTAAACTCTTCTTAATCAACACAAGACATCCCTAGTGAGTTAAATACCAGTCAATGCAAGCCTGCTTCCCCTGGCTCAAGCAGAAGGTAGTGCTTCAACCTCAGGGGCAGTGACAAACAAGGGATGTGTCTTTGGCATTGTTTTCCCAACAGTTTTCGGACACAGCATCGTACTATGTGTTGCAAGCTCGCAGGGCTCTTCCCAACAGAGAACACCCCGTCATAAAAATCCTGGTGTTTTCTCCATACGTCATCTGGAACACTCTTTTCCCATTTGATGTTAGCTCGTAGTTTGTTGTAAGAGTTGATCAGCACTTCAATACAGGCAACAGCATTCCCACAGCCTGACAGGACTTTGTGGAACACGGCCGGGTTGACGGGCCAGGCACCATTGTTCAGAAGGATCTGCACGCACACCTCTGCTCTACCCTTGCTCTGACCAGCTACCGTGGACGATTGGAGCGCGTGGCACAGTGGAGTCTTCCCGTACCAGTCGGTCTCGTTTACCTTAGCACCGTAGTCAACAAGGACCTGAACAATAGTGTGGTCAGCGTTCCTACATGCCTTGTGCAGAGGAGTTTTGAATTCTCCATCAACAGCGTTTAAGTCAGCTCCATTTTGAACAAGCTTTTCGACGGTGTTACGATACCGTTCCTCTCCATTTGTCCAGAAGCAGGCCATATGAAGAGGAGTGTCCAACTCATCATTTGTGAGGTTTGCATTCCCACCGTTCTCCAGTAGTAAATCAACCAGGTCCCCCAGCCCTGACTTTGCTGCAATGTGAAGAAGAGAATTGGACTGTTCATCTTCTGTCTGAGAGTTAACTTGGGCATTAAAGCTGATTAGAATACGAGCACACCCTAAGTAGTCGTTCTTCGTACACTTGTGAAGGGGTCGGAGCCCGTCCTCATCAGTCGCCTCGGCGTCAGCACCGTGCTTGAGTAGAAGGCGCACACATTCTGAGTGCCCTCCCTCGCAGGCAGCGTGGATTGGGAGCTTCCAGGCCTTGGGTGGCAGGTTGACGTCTGCCCCCTGGCGGAGGAGGAAGTTGACCAGCTGGTGGTGGCCGAGAGAGGCGGCCAGGAAGAGGGGGGTGGTCACCTCACGGGCGTGGGTCACCGAGTACATGCCTGTTGGGTGGACACCAAGGGGTCAGAGGTCAACCCAAGAGGAAGGATAAGTCATAGACAGATGAGGACAGCAGGTGGGAAGACAAGGATGAGACAAGCACAGGTAGGACACAGACACAACTCTGCTGACAGGTGGGAACAGTGATGTACAGGGCACAGGCTTCTACACAAGCCAGCAGGAGAGTATGGGGATATACAGATACATGTACACACATGAAAACACAGATGTAGATGAAATAGCAGATGCAGAGGCATGTGGTAGGTAGGGTTGAAAGTTTATGTCTTCTATCACAGAGAAAAAGGCTTCCAAAGTTCCATTTTGTTTCCCTCCTTGCATGATCGCACTCAGATTTAAAGTCCTTTTAATACAATGCATTACAGTACCCTGAGGGATGATCTCTGGCATGGCAAGCAATAAATGGTTACCACGCACATGTCCACTGAACTATACGGCAGCCAATTGACAATGGTAACTTTACATGTACTGCTGACTAGTAACATGATGTATGAGACCTTCTCTGACCCCATCTGAAAAGCACCCTCTCCTTCATAATTCCAAATTTAGATGTGGGAGGGGGGCGATACACCAAAAGTAAACAGGTGACCTTAGCACACAAAAAAACAAGCATTTCCGAGCATGACAGCTCGCAGTACTTTAACAAACAGATCTGTTGGCGTATGACTCACATTTCGTGCTTACAATATGACTGGTAATTACCTCGTTCCACTGCTCTTTCTATGTACTCTTCAAATGTCAACTGCTCCTCCTCTAGAACATTCTTGAACTTCATGTCGAGTTTGGCGTCCACACTCTCCCCGAATTTCACCAGCAGTTTCACCGCTCGAAGGTCGCCGGTCTTCAGGGCATAGTAGAACTTGTCCCGAGACAAGTGGGACATTTTGGAGGCATTGGCAGCCGACAGTTTGCACAGGTCTACGGGTTTTTCAGGGCTAGACGTCATTTTTGCTGGCGCATAAGTTGTTGTTGCCGCTCTGTTGACCTGTTTGACCTATAGACACCTAGCGATTCGGCCCCGAGCTGCATATGAAATACCCTTGGCTGGTAACCGCTTTTTGTGACGTTACAGACATTTCTTTCCAGACGATTTTAGCTAGACTGTAACGTTACATATGTAACATTACAGTAACCAGTTCTAAGAGGTCAAATGATATGGAGATACTGGTAATCTCGTGTTTCAAAAAAGTTATCTCCGATCCGTGTGCATGGATCACACTACTAACGTTACCAATACTCCTTCCTGAAGTTACTCAAGATATCATTGGTTCGTCAGGTGGCTGGTCCCAACTTAACAACTTAAAGAATGACATCAGTTTTAAGCTCCACACATTTCTTTATTTCAAAACAATCTTGCCCCATCAAGAGCTGATCTAGATAAGCAAAGCATAAAAAAATCCGCAAAACAAAGGTAAAACCTGCATGCCATAAATTTAGTCTACCACAATACGTACAACAATGAATACTAAAGAGTTAAAATCGACGTATTACAGTACATTTCTGTACATTTCAAACGAATAGACATCTATTACTACCGTCAGCACTCAGTTAAAATATCCCTTGCAGCAAGTTCGACACTGCTACGTAGCACTTCTCATCGTGCATTTTACAGTATTCTTTTCTGTTCTATGTGCTTGCGATAAATGTAGCAAGGAACTGCATGCATGATCCGGTTATGTCGGTAAAACGTATATTTGCATTGAATGTGCATAATAGATTTATTAAAGAAAATATAAATACTCAGCAGTAAGAAATATATATATTTTTGCAGTGCATAGTGAATTATCATTATATCTTCCACGGAAAGATTTCCAACTTGACGATGCCATGGGACGATATTAATCATTCTAATATTCCAACATTTACTGTCCCAGAATCGTGTATAGAATTGTGACCGTTGAAGTAATCACATACGCTGCTATAACAGCACACGGTTGGTACTGTACTGTGACACCAGATTTTGATGCCTCAACATGCGGTATGTTATTTTTCTGGAAGGAGTGGATGTCGGAAGTGAGATCTGTGTGGAGGGTGAAGTCGCAGGTTGTAGCAGGTCCGTCTGCGTTGACCTGGCAGATTTTGGTGTCCTCATAACGGTCCCAGTAGGCGGTGACTGTGTATGTCCCCGGGACAAGGAGCCGCCAGTAGTCGCCGTCTTCAGCTGAAAACAGTACGTATGGTAGCATTAGATGGCTACTGAAGGAAAAGTAGCACCAAGGACAGGGCCAGTATGTATGTAACGCAGCTATATGCCCCACATTTGCGAATATACTAGTCGTTGAGATTTCACTATTGTGTGCATGTACTATACGTTGGTGGTGACAGACACAACGCCATAGTGGAAACTGGTGAAACAGGTAAAATAGTGATTAAATGAAAGTTCTGACCATGTACGTACTTCGAATGGGCCCTCAACCCTATCACAGTTTGCCACATTGTCCCACAACTGTTTCTAATTAATTATCATCAATTACAGCCATTACTTCAAAAGAAAATTTAAAACGAAACAAGATGTTAACAAGGTTTCTTTGATAACAAGCCCACTGGTGTAATATTATGCAGAAGGTTAGGTTTTGCCGACAGTCGGACTAACAGATAGAAGACATACCGGTTGTAATGTCATGCTGTATCCCCTGTACAGAGATGGTGGCTCCAGGCATGGCATGCCCCTTGTTGTTCCGCACGAAACCTTTAATGCCGATGTGGACCTGGTGTAGAAAATATATCTACCGTTCAGAAAATAAGGCATTCTTTTTTTGTTTAACAAGAACACATCAATAATATATGTTTTTATCAGATCTTTCTAATTTGATGGGTCACTACGTGTGTTTAATTGATAAAATCCAGCCTTTAGGCAAACCGTCTACATCGGATGGTAACCGGAATGAACCCACTGACGGCTAACCTGTTCCATGTAGGCCAGTAGCGGCTCCCTGTTGTCGTCCCACAGCCGAGGGAGCTCCTCAGGAGCAGGGAACTTGTCACACCCCAGCTCCAGCGCCACCTCTAACGCGTTGGTACCCAGGTAGCTGTAGTCTAACACGGCTGAGAAAACAGACGCAGAAATTACAATTAACTTTGTGCTTGTAACAGGACATCTACTACTAGTATACATCCTCATCCCCCTGCTACATAATCTTGTGCAAGGTAGATTAGTATCATTAATCTCCAAGCAGATCTGTCGTGGGCAAGGCAACCGCAATTAGCCTTCGGGCAGGAGTTGCAAATAGAGATGATTATTAGATAAATAGACCAGATCCCGTCCCCTTCCATATTCTTTTGTTAAATATACAAAATATAAGTGTTGCATGTAGTAACAGATTCGACTCACATCCAGGCACTGAAAACCAGTTGGCGCCATTTTTGATTCCTCCGTTGGAGGTGGTGTTGAGGTTGTCACATGTCACCCGGGCCCCGCACCTCGCCATGTCGGGGTGTGCCCTGGCGTACGTCCCCGCTAGGTGGCGGTACAACTCATCGTCTGTAAAAATACCACATGCTCATATGTTAGGGAAAAACTGATTCATATACATGGAAATTTTCTGATCATAAAACATGAATTCCTCACTGATTTTTGTGCATATTCTATTGTCACTGCCCCACAGTCTGCGGTGTGACAATTTTAACCTCCTGTTCGACCTTCCTGTCAGTCTGCGGTTACACTTCTTTTACTTCTGCTGTATTCAAATACATGTACCTAACTACAGACACACAAGCAAACAAACAGACAAAATCCCGGGGTACAAAAACCGTACATCGAAGTGAAAAGCAGTTCGTAACGGATATGTATTAACTAAGTGAAAACACATCCTGAATGGCCCCAGTCTATCGTGATGAACGAAATGTGAAAGAACCGACCTGCCGTTGCGGAGTACGAGGAGAGATCAGCCGGGTTCTGTCCCAGGTCGAACGGGTACACCGCCACGAGGCTGCCCCCGTGCAGATTGGCGCCCAGCACGAAGGGGTAAGACTCCGCCCATTTCAGGAAAGCCATCGTTTCGTTTGCAACCTACACGGAAAGTAAGAATATTTGCGTATCAGTTCAACTTGAGCACCGAAGTCTCATAGATATTTCAGTGAAATTTCATGCAAAGGAAGCACTTTTCATGTGACATCTTGTGATCCTGTCAGCGTTTATATTTTAGTAAGCAAATATATCATCTTAATAAAAATCATTAAAACTAATGTTTCATTAATTAGCGGGCTCTCAAACTTTGTGCGACAACAGTGACGATATGAACAAACATGATTACCTTTCGTAACCAATATGATTCAGGTATCCTGAGGTGGTTGTTCTGCACCTTGTGGTTGTTATTTCTGTTGGTGAAAAGAACGTTCCCCAACACGGGGAAGTCCCTGTACAGGTTCACCCCTCGGGTGTTGTACCGTCCGTAGTCTCCGTGCGCAGAACTGGTCCTGTAGCTCTGGTGACCCTGAGGAGAGTAGAACAAGGCGTGTCAGGGGGAAGTTGACATTATCATCTCATCTATCCCT